CATGAATTTTTATGATTATTTCTCCTTCATTTGACGAAGCTTCTGTTTGGCACTTTTCCAATGAAATTACTCAATCTTTGGCTAGAATATCATAGATTCTGATAACGGACTTTGCATTTACTAGAGCAAATACTTTCAACCCATAGCGAGCCGGCTTATTTGGCATGTACTGTCTAAAAGCACAGCACCCCCTAAAAGATTCTAGCTTTTCATCTATAGTAAGATACTCGCTAGGTGTATACAAATTTTGAGAGTTATGTACGAATTGATCAAAAACTGCCCTAATCGCAGCCATTATGTCAATTTTTCTTCTTTGTTCTCGGTTTTCTATATTGTCGAAACGTAAACAGGCCTGCAGAAAGATAAATGTATGTGATACCCCACCACACCATCGCCGGGTTAAGATTAAGTTTTATTTTCCTTGAAAAGGCTACTAGTGTTGTTTTTGTAGGGTTTGTACTAAGTCCCACTTCACAACACCATCTTTTGGTGTTCTCGTTGGACTATATCACACAGGATATTTCTAAACTTGCCACTAGCAAATATGACTATGTCGTCGTCGTCGTCGTCGTCGTCGTCGTCGTCGTCGTCGTCGTCGGCATAACATTGACAGTGGATGCCGAGGTCAGTCAATCTGCATAGAAGTTCGTCTACGGTTAGTATATACTAAGTACATTGACATAAATAAGGTTAATGTCACTTAAACTTTTTTCAAAGTAGTTTATTTAAGATCTTATATTCATGCAATATTTAACTCTTTGAAAACAATTTTTTTTATATAAGGTATTTATTTTTATATAGTACAAATATTCATTGACATTTCTTAAGAATATTTTTAAAGCATCATTTTGGTAACTGACACGTTTTCGTATATTTCTGTTTCCTTTCCATCTTAACCACATTGATTTGATGTCTTTTATTCTCTTATGAACATCATTTTTTGCGTGCTAGTTGTGCATTTTCGCCAAAAATTGGTTCTCCTCCACGTTTGTCCACTTTGAAGCTCTCCATTATTTCATTCTTTGCCAATTGTGTTGGGTTGATTTGGAACCCCCGTAACTATAAGGTTTTTGATTTTTCTGTGACCTCAACAGTCTCCATTACATTGTTTCAGTTATAATTTGATTACAAATTTTTTTAATATGTGCCATTTCTAAAAATTCTCTTTTTACAAGTAGTTTTCTTCTATCATTAATTTATAAAATTGTCAAGGCTTTATAAAGAAAGAGAGAAAGAAAAAATCAATTTGAAATTCTAGTAAAATTCTCCTACTAAAATTTTATTATAAAAACTACCTCCATTTTCCCGTGTGGAAATAAACATGAAAATAAACATTAATTTGTGCAGTCCGTTCGTTCCATTTTCTCCATGCGGAAAGTTGAACACATCCTAAAAACGCGAACAGAAAGAAAAAGGAGGAAATTTTTATACGCTACGCTTGTCCCGTCACGTATAGCGCCACGTATATATATCTAATAAATTTCAACTTTAAACAAGTAAAGAACTAAAATATAGCATATTAGTAAGTGAGGCAGCGCTTTCATGTTACAACTTTTCAAAGGGTTTCCTTCCAAACGTTTTATTCGAATTTTAAGAAAAATTACATTGTAACAATTCGTTTAAAATAAGGAGTTTCGCTACTATCGGAATTTGATGTCGTATGATCATTGAGTTATTTTAATCTAAGTTAAATTACTGTTTAAAGAAAAAGAGTCATACAATATAAAAAATTAGCCTCTTCAACCTTTGACATATGTTTAAAGAATGTTGTGCTCTTTTGGGTGACTTTTGCAATTGTTGATTTCACATTAACCTGTAGTGAAAGATGCCACCCAAGTATTCGGCGTCTTGAGAAAGCCTTTCGTTTTGTAAAGTTGATTATTGTAGTTTTGTGAGGGTTTGCTGTTAGTTTCTCCTCTCTGCACCACTGGTAAACGATGTTTAGAGCGGTTTGTGTCCGTTCTGATATTGCACTTGCGAACTTGCCTCTTACTGGTATTCGCAGTTCATTGGCAAACCCTAGACAGAAGAAATCTGCAGGTATTAGCCTTTGAATGAGTTCGTCCACTAGAACTGAACAAAGGAGTGATAGTACTCCTTTTCTTTCTACCTGCTTTAGCTAGAGATGATGTTATTATCCTTTCTTTTAGAGTTTTATTGACTGATACACGATTACTGGTACCTCTTTCGTTTCTAGTGCACCGTAAAATGTACGACCTCGCCATTAAAGATGCTTATCAGCCTGCAGATAATATTGATCCCTTTTCCATGGAAATATGTCTAGCCGGTACAAAATGGTTGAGAGGTTTTCGCCCACAAACTGCAGCCGTTAGAGATTCATGAATCCGCTCAATCACTATCACGATAATCCATTGGAAAAATGGCTTACTAATCACGCAGGAAGGGTTATAACCGTTTTTCAAATCTCACAAGTCTTACATGCAGACCTGCGTACCACTTAAAGCAATTAAAGGATTAAAAAAAAAAATGGGAATTTTCCCGTACGACTCCGATATTTTCACTGACTTTGATTTCGTACTTCACTCTTACTGCCCAAATTAAGCTAGCATTCAATCAATTCAAAACCGGACTTTATTATTTTTCCGTATTGAAACAATTTCCATTACAATCACTTTTTCCAGTGTAGAATGTCCTTTTCCTAGCGGACAAAATGTATTGAAAATATTTATGTACACCAGTAAGTCACTTTAAATCGATATACTGCCATGCACGGTACTAAATTCCGTTTATGTAACCTTTTTGAATGGGAAGTGGGGTTAGGAATATAACACGGGGATTTTCCTTGAATTTATCGTGTTTTCCTTCGCTTTTCCTGCTAAATGTATGTAAGAGAAAAACAGTTTTATATATATACACTCTATGAACGTGGATTAAACCGTGGAAGTACGTATTTCAAGATTACATTTAGGAGTAGTTCGAGATTGGAACATTAAAATTTCCCTGCATTTATCACAGGTTATTGTTCTGTTTAATCATTGTACGAGGTTCGTTCGAAAAAACTAGGCAATAAAAATCCTCCAGTAAGAAATTCTTTAAGTATCACCGATTTTGATAACACGGTTAAAAAATTAAAACTCAAAAAGGAGCTTCACATATATTTAATCTTATATTATTTACTAAAAAACTAATAACTTTAATATTTAATACAATAATGTGGATAAACTACTTCTTTAGCACTTGGAAAGTGGCACAAATCATCATGATTCTCAAACCCGGGAAAAACCAGAAGAGTCGTCTTTATACAGACCTATAAGCCTTCGGTCAATGCTTACTAAAGTATTTGAGAAGATGTATGTAATAAGACTAAAAATAATAATAGAAGATAGGAAAATTATTCCAGAACATCAGTATGGATTCCGGAACAAGTACGGAACAAAAAAACTAGTGCATAGACTAGACAACCAAATTCCAAAATTTCGTTTACTTATTATGACTTCTTGTGCCCCAACTTGCCTCCGTCTCTCGGCAGCAACTTGGAAAAGTTAGCTGGCTTCATGTTGAAGTACAGTTTTTTCTCTACCTCTGAATGGTTGGGATGGTACAACTTTACTTGTTGGGATGAACCCCCACGTGTTTTCTTAAAATTCAACCACCTTTTAGGAGTGGTTCTTTTATTTCTTACTATTCAAGCTTCAAGTTATGGTGGAGAACAGGGACCGGTTTGTTGCTGTCCTTTTTAATTTAGTTAAATATAAAGTTTCAGGCTACTTCTACAGTTTTTGACGAAGTTTCTGATGATGGCCTAATAGGCTGAAAGCGCTTAGACTAAAATTACAGAGTTTTATTAATAAAACTCAATTTACACACTTTGAATACTCTCGATTCATTTCTTATTACCCAGTGTGTACACACCACTCAACTTCTTCAAATAAACAAAGACTTAAACGCCAGATAATATTATTTAGCTGCTTTCCTTGATATATCTTAAGCCTTTGACAAGGTGTGTCACACAGGATTGAAAGTTAAACCAAAGAAGCTTCTACCTTACCCGCTATTAAAATCATATCTGGCAGATATACACTTCTTCGTAAAACAAGGAACCGAATATAGCCTATACATCCTATATATTCTGGCGTTTCTCAAGGTAGCGTCTTTAGCCCAATACTATATCTCGTGTCTACAGCAGGCCTACCAACAACAAGATATACTACGGTAACAGCATATGCAGACGACACTGCTATTTTGGCATCTCACATCAGCCTCAAGAAACCTCCAAACAAACCTAAATATGATTCAGCACTGGTTAAAAATATAACGCATTAAAGCTAATGATTCTTAGTCTATGCATGTGAAATTTACATTACGTTACATGTTATTCTGTAAATATAAACAACTGTCAATTTCCACAAGTCGACTATACTAAATATGTGCACTTAGATCGCCGCCTTACCTGAAAAAATATATATTCACCAAATACAAGCAGCTGTGACTCAAATTAAGCCATATATTGTATTGGCTCATCTGTCAAAATTGTCTTTGGGCAATACTATACAAAACCATTCTTAAGTCCAATTGGACTTATGGGATCCAGCTGAGGGGCACCGCTAGTACTTCCAATATAAACATTCTACAAAGGTTCAAAAATAAGGTACTGCGAGCGATCGTCCATGTGCCTTATTAAGTCTCCAATGAGGTGATTCAGCACGATATCCCCTTAAATTCCTCCAAGAAATCACACATCATTGAAGTTCGAAATACAGTTACCAAATGACAGTTCATCCTAACGTGCTTGCAATGTCACGTATCTTCTTTTACTTCCTCCGAAGATTCTTCGTCATCTTTTCCTGATTCCTTATTTTATTAATGGTATATTTTTCTGCCAATTTATTATTGTTTTTTGAACTGTTTTTCCTTTCTGTGTTGGTTTTCTAACAACTGATCTTGAGCTAGGTTTTTCCTGTCACATTTTAGGGAGTGAATGAACATCATTTGGCAATACGTTAAAACCACCTTCGATGTCGAGGGTTCATTAACCGAAGCTAAGTTACTGGTAAAGCATCATTTTGCCTATTGTTCATAGGGCTCATCCCTTTGCTCATGGGCAGCAATATTTTCACCATTAACTTCTTTATTTTGTTCATGGACCGCATTATTTCCTTATGGGCGTTGTCGTCACGAGGTTCGTTTTGCTCAGACACTCCGGCAGGTTGGAGCCTTAGAATAAAAACATATCATTTAATCGTCAAGGCTATTAAAAAATGAAAATTATGACAGTAGAACCGAAACTACTTCCTTCCTTTTTTTATTAAAGAATCTACATAGTAATATTTATAGTGTTACAAGTTTTACATCATTTACCTTTACATTATTGCCTATTACATTTTATTAAATTAAGACGAAAATAATCATTAAAATTATAAAATATGTCAAAGAAAAGCTAGAATTTAAAAAGGAAACATTACTTTCTAAATTCAATGATTAGGAATATTTAAATGAAAAATTTCAAGTAGGGTTAACTGTTTACAAGCAAAATTTCCACTATATATATAAAAACTATCCAAAACAATGTTTGGATTGTATTGATTTATATTTTTATTGGTATTTTTTTGTTATTTTGTATTTATTCTGGAAAATAGATCTCCAAGGACAAAATTTAGTAGCCAGCCCATGATTTTTTTCTAATGGTGGAAAAGTTATAATAAAACAATTGTAAGTGGACAACTATAATCATACAGACGTTGTACGTCTTAAGACATTCCAAAAGTTTGACAGATGACATGACAGCTGACCTTTTACGATTGCAAAATGGTTAATTGAGGGTTTGGGGAATTGGTATCACTATTTGAGATGACAGATGACGTACTTCATATTTAGCGTTGACAGTGACATAACACATGATAACAAAATGAAAAATTGGTGGCATGGAGTAATTGGTATCATTGAGTTAACAGATGATGTACTTAACAGTTAACATTGGCGGCTTGGCTTCTGCGATAGCAAAATGAGGAATTAGCATTACTGGGTGATGTCTCAAGTGACAATATGGGGCATTAGGACATGGGGAGAATTGGAGGAATGTCGTTCGAAAAGACTTTAATGCGCAGACGTGCAATCCAAATCTCTCGCGAGCAAAAAAATGCGAATTGCAAGGTGACAACTTTCATAACGTCTCTCGTACGGCGTTCGCAAAAATTCGAACTTCCAAATGACTGAGACCATCCATCCTCCTCGTTTTACAAGGAAACTCCAAACTTAAGAAAATAAGAGTGTGCAAACCCCGGCGAAAATCGTCGACAGCTCGTCTCTTTTGTTACTCGCTTTAGTTCTTGAGGTTGTTTCTAGACGTTATGAGGTTATCGAATTAAATGCAGCTGCAGCTGTAGCTGTGGATTTCCAGCGGAGCTCTCGCCCCCTCGAGAAAAATTAAGACAAAGAGGTTTCGCTGTAAAGACTCGAAATTTCCGCGGAATTTTCCGCGATCACGTTTATTAAGCGGCTGCGAAGCGAAAGGAGGACACGAGTTACTGGGTATAAATCAGAAGTGGAACGAATTTATGGATCAGAAGTGGGATAAAAAATATTTTTTAATTTTTTAATTTATTTCGCTTCAAAACAATGTTTCTGGTTGATTAGCTTCGAATATATTTAATAAAATACAAAGCATGGATAGAGGTAAATCAGATTCGACGATCTAGCTCGTAGTCAACATCTATATTAAGCAAAAATTATTCCTTTTCGTCGGTTAAAGACGCCGGCAACAAAACGATCGACGCAACGGAGCCGAACCGTCAATCAAGCGAAGTGAAATCGAATCCAATTAGAGGATTTCAATCAGGGCGTCGAAAATAAAAAGTTTAACTGACAGACGGGCTGGGCTGAGTCGAGCTGAGCGTTCCCGACTACCCCGACCTCAGTTTAAATCGTTTCACGACTTTGTGTCACTTGCACCAGACCCGCGACCGGCCACACGAGAATAAATAATACACAGTCTAACAACTTCGCAGACAATTAATTACGGCTGCCCGACAGAGGCGTGCGCTAGTAAAATTATTGGGGATGATTAAACAAGAAGTTTCGTTTTCCTGATGTATGGAATATAGCTACAGTCTGTCCCGTGTTCAAAAATGGTAATTGAAGGGGTTTGATTTCTTGAAATTCAAAACTACCGATCCACTACTAATTTACCCTGTATCTTCCATAGTCGTTGTTTACCAACTGGTTCGTTTTGTAAGAAAAAATATTTACAGGAATAAAACAAACCGGATTAAACTTTAAAATCTCTATTAAATCGAAAATCTTTACATTAAACCCTTATACTAATTTCAGAAACTTTACAAAATTTAAACTCTTCGAGGCGTCTAAAGATACACTCTCGATGAGACCCAAGCAGCAAGGTGTCGTCATTATGAATTGATTTTTTGGCTTTACTTGTCATAAACGTCATTATCTCAATTAATGTTGTTACTTTGACGTCGTTTTTGCAACGGTAATTAGACGTCAATACAGACTCGTCATTATGACGTAATTTTTTAGTATACATTTATCCTTTGGGTTGGAGGCCCTTTTTTAAAGATCAAGAACAGGAAGGAGTATATGATCGAAGTATTTTGTGTCGGAGGAGCTTTTCTTTTTGTTTTTTAGAAGCCAAGTAGATGAAAGAGTATACGATATTGGTATTTTGGGTTGAAGGAACTTTTTAGAAATCAGGAAGAAGAAGGCGTATATTATTTTGAGAATTTTATTGTAGGGCTCCGCAAAGAAACGTGAGGGATCTGGCAAGAGGCTAGAGCAAGGAGGACTTTTTTTCCGAAATACGTTTAGGGCTCCCCTTCTGAGCCGCACTTTAATGGCCTCTGTGAGGCAGGGATTAAGTCGGTTAAATCTCATTTTATCCGAATTGTTGGATCCCAAGTTATATACTTTTCTACTAGGCTGCTTTATTCATTAAGCTCCGATTCCTCTCATTTATCAGTGTTAACCACCGGATATTTCTTGATACTGAAACCTCTCACTTCTGTCCCTGGTACTGAATATCAACTACCTAAACTACTGGCAGTTGTTGTAGCGGCCTACAGCAGGATCTATGGAAATGTTGGCACGTAGAATATCTGTATACATGTTATACCAACATAATCGGTTCTATCACTCCGATTTAGAGATGGAATGATTTAGGCTTTAGCTTCACGACAAATACACTTTCATCAATGACTAGTTGTAGATTTGGAGTAGACGATCTTCTTTTAATTAAAGAAGATTCCTTATCTCCGATGGGGACGAGGATGTATTATTAGTGTTTATCCTGGATCTGAAAGAATACCTAGAGTCGCAACTGTTACAAAATACAAGGGATCGCTTGTACGACCTTTGGTAAAACTTTGTCCCTCTTCTGACAGAGAACAATTAATCAAATTTTCTCTCTATTTTTTCATTAAATTACTCAGTTTTTCCTTTCCTTTATATAGTATAATGTAACAGATTGTATATTGTCTAATATACAGGGTGTCTGTAAAAGGTCTTTACAAAAACATACCACATATTTCTTAGACCAAAATAAGTCGATCCCTCCAGAGGCCTTGAAGTTACAATTTATAAATCGTTTTTCCCATATAAATTTAAAACGGCATATGCGATTTTGCTAAAATTTGGTATATTGGTGGAGTTTTATGTGACAAAAAAAATGGTATTAAAATGTTTTCCGATAATAATACATAGGCGTAGAACTTGATTTTTTAAATAATTGCACCTTTAAAAATTCTACGCCAATGGAAGAAAAGGAATTTGAGTATGAAATTTAGATTGCGCAACTCATTAACTTTAATTTTAATTTTAGAACATAAACAATAATTATTAAAATACAAACTTTGTCAAAACCATGAGAGTAAATCGAGTGTTATCAAGGGTACTGTTTTGTAGTAAATGAGTACTCAATCCAAATTTCATACTCAAACCCCTTTTCTGCCATTGGCGTAGAATTTTTAAAAGTGCAATTATTTAAAAAATCAAGTTCTACGCCTATGTATTATTATCGGACAAAATTTTATACGATGAAAAACATAAAAATGTACTTTTTTCATATCTTCTTCAACACCTCTAATCGAGACTTTTAACAAAAATACTCGATTCTGCCATGTACGATTTTTTGAGGAATATTAATTATTTGCCTGCAATACGTATACAAAAACATTTATTGTTGGTTTCCATAGTTTCATCTAAATAAAAATATTGTCAAGTTTTAACACCTAATCTCTTGTTAACGATTGAAAGTGTTCTATCTGACTCAATAATTAAAAAAACAAATGCGTGGTTTATTAATATGGCTGTACAATATACCAATGCAGAATATACCGATATGTTACTGACATTAGGATTTTGTGAAGGAACTGCTTGAGAGAGTATCAGGGTGTACTCTGAAAGGTTTCCAAATCGTCGTGTACTTAGCCACCCAACTTTTGCTGCTGTTGAGAAACGTCTTCGGGAGACCGGTTCCTTTGCTCCCAACACTGTTGATAATGGAAGAGAACGTTTTGTAAGGCTTCCTGAAGTTGAAAAAGACATTTTAGAACGTGTTGAAGAAGATCCAGAATTAAGACCAGACGAATTGGAAGGGAACTAGGAGTAAGTAAAGATGTCGTTCATAAAGTGCTTAGAGATCAATTGCTATATCCATACCATAAGAAGCCAGTACAAGAATTATTAGTCCATGATCCTCAAATTCGTTTGGGTTTTTGTCGATTTGTTAATATGCAAAGAGAAAGAGATCCAAACTTTGTCAAGAAGGTTCTCTTTACCGATGAAGCGGGTTTTACAAGAAGAGGTATAACTAATACCCATAATGAACATGTTTATGCCGTTGAAAATCCGCATGCAACAAAGGTAAACCATTTTCAGCACGAATTCAAAATTAATGTGTGGGCTGGAATAATTGGTAATTTCATTGTTGGTCCTGTCATACTTCCACGAAGATTAACTGGAGAAAATTATTTGGATTTTCTACAAAATACGTTGCCAGAATTGTTATAAGATTTACCTCTCCAACTTCGGAGAGATATGTGGTTTATGCAAGATGGAACTCCACCACATTTTTCTTTAAACGTTAGAAACCACTTGAATGAACAATATCTACACAAATGGATAGGCAGAGGTAATGACGCACCTGTAAACTGGTCACCACATTCCCCGGACCTAACACCGATGGATTACTTTTTATGGGGACA